CCCCCCCACACACACACACACACACAGTGGGTTCGGGTCATGCCACAATCCCCTTTTCTTCATTCCTCTTTCCTGTCAGGATCCTGAGCATATGCAACATGCCAGTGTATTTTTTAAGCCATAAGAGGTACATTTAAAAACTTTTGCATGTTTGAAATTTCTTGTATATTCCTACTTGTTGTAAACAGACTGCTTAGGATGCTATGTTTTAAACAATTTTCTCCTCAGAATTTTGGATGTATTGTTGATATTATATTACTTCTGTGTGTAAGTATTACTATTTAAAAATTTAATACTGTTCCTGTCCTTTGTATGTAATTTTCCCCCCTTTGGGACCTATAGATTCCTTATTGGTCATTGATTTTCATGATGTGAAAATGCCATATTAAGTTGCCTTATTACAGATCTCTTAAAATTAACTTTCTAGGTGTCTGATAAGTCTTTTCAACGTGAAAACGAATTCATGTCTGACAACTCTGAAAAATTTTAAATACTTCTTTGAAAATTTCTTTTATCTTTGTTATTATTGGAAGTGATTTTTTTCCTACTATATCTTTGAAATGATTTTTAAAAATTTCTACTTATTTTAGTTCTAAGGTGTTATTTTTAGTTCTTTGAGTGCTCCTTTGTCATAGCATCCTGTTCTTGTTTCATGGATGAATTTTTTTTTTTTAAAGGAATAATTTTCTTTTTTCTTAAATTTTCTTCTTTCTGCATGTCATCCATGTTCCTTTTTTCTTCCTTTTCTTTTTCTTCTCTAGTTTTTAATGTTTTTGTCTCTGGCATTAATGTTGAAGAATTTCTTAAAATGACTTGTGAGGCTTGGCTAACCATTCATATTTAGAGTAAAGCACTGCTAGGAAGTTTCGTGTGCATAGTCAGAGTTTGTTGACTGGTAGCATTTTTTGTAGAGAATTAAGATGGCAGGCTGATTTTTTTTTTTTTTTCTCTTCTTTCTTCTTCATTGAACTGTCTTCAAATGCCAGCAGCTTTTGGATTAATCAGCATCCTACAAAAGAATCTTCTAATCTTCATTTCTCATGTTCTGAGAATGATTCTAGGAGTCTTTAAGTTCAGTATGTTCTCTTGGAATTAATCTGCCTGTTTTCAGTGAGCCGTTTCCTATCTTTTCCCTCTTTTTCATGCTTTCCTACAATCTCTGCAAACCACTGTGGTTATAAATCATCAATTTAGGCAGGAAAGGGGAGATTACCTGGCTGAGTTCTGTGAAGTTGGGGTCGTAGAATCTTACTATCCTTTACAAACTCTCATCTAGATTCTTCAGAAATATTTCCAATTGAGTAACATTTTCCTGGTACGATAACCCGAATTGACTTGCTGCAGCTTTTCTGTGCTCTAGTTAGGTTTCAGATTTTGTCTGTTGTGCAGAGTTAGTTACCACTCGTCCATTGTGCAAAACTTGGTTGACATCCCATGTCTGTTATTTTATCCCTCCAAATAGCTTTGTCTCTATGGTTTTTATGACCTTTTAAATTTTTATTTTATCTTATTTATTTATTTATTAGTTAGTTTACCGAGATATTAGGGCAAAGTAAATATTAAGTACATGTAGTCAGTCTGCCATTTTAAAGCAGAAATTCGAATTTCCATACTGATTTAGGAAGGAGAGATCCTGTACAAAGATTTGTGAACATTTCCACCAGGGGGCATGTCCTATTGAAACTGTTCAAAGAATACTTTAAAATGCCATCACACAAAAGAAAGAGTTTAAGAATGGAGTGGTCACAAAGGATTCAGAAAAGACTTGTATTTACAGGCCTGATCCTATTCAGTACATACAAATATGTGGCTAGGTAAAAAGACTTCTTTCACGAATGATGTTCTTAAGTTTTATTAGATTTTTCCA